CTGTGTGTTAAGTTCTGAGTGTTTCCAACATGTAACTAGCATATCATTTAACCCTTTGCCTAAGCAGCGTCTCACTGGACAGAAATCACTTGAGCTTTGCTTTCATGCTTCTACTGCGTCCGCTCTGCAGACACAGAGTTGGACTGACGTGTTAACTCGCCCTGCATGAGTGAAAAACAGAAAAAGAAAAGTGTTGATGTGCCTGCTTCAATTGAGCCGCTGGGGTCTGTGAGCTCAGACACTGCTGCACTAATATGTTCCTTAATATTAGATTTTTCTTCGTCGTCGCAGGGTGTTAGCTAGCTGTGTTAACTAGCTGTGTAAACTAGCTGTGTAAACTAGCTGTGTAAACTAGCTGTGTAAACTAGCTGTGTATGTGGTGATAAAAGTTAACAGAGGCCTCCCATAAGATATAAGACAGTTGAAAGTTGAAAAACGATGTGACTTTTGTAAGAATGTCTGTTTGACATCTGACATGTCTTCGTTGTCACGATTGACTCAGTAGACGTCAAACAAGGGGCGGATCGTGACGAGACCCCTCCTCGCACACCAACAGGCAACGCCCCGTCATCAGAGTCGGACATTGAAGTTTCCAGCCCAAGCAACGACCTCGTGTCTTCTAGCAACGACATTGTAGTTTCACAAGAGGAAGACGAGAGGTTGGCCAAAGAGCTGTCGCTCAAAGAGGCCGCCGCCCACGACCTTTCCCACCGGCCCAAACGACGGCGTTTCCACGAGAGCTACAACTTCAACATGAAGTGTCCCACACCTGGCTGCAACTCCCTGGGTGAGTGCACAGACTGGCACATATTTCACAGCATCACTTCCTCTTCAGAGCATCTCCTCATCCTCTTCCTTCGGTGTCTCTCAGGTCATCTCACAGGGAGGCACGAGAGACATTTCTCCATATCAGGATGCCCTCTCTACCACAACCTTTCTGCCGACGAATGCAAGGTACACGCACACACAAACACAAATAAACACGACGATGCATCAACGGGGAATTCAGGATAAGAAGTGAGTGTGAAACTATGATGCTACGTGCTGTGATGTTCCTGCTGCGGGGTCAGTTGTGAGTTGGTGGCAGACGGTGTTGATGTTTTGTCAGGGCAAGGCATC